GGTGTGAAGGATAGATTGTCTCTTTTTTTCCTTGAACAAAGTCTCGAGAAGCAGGCTTCTTCATCACCATAAGGGTACATGGAGAGATTTGCAACTGCTGTGACTCCTAGTGGGTAGACTGAAACAACTGGGACATTGGGTGTCATAACCTTTGGCTACGGCTGCCATCACTGTGTTCTAAGCCTTGAGTCTGTCGTGGCTAAGGCTACTGTAGTAGCACTATGGAAGTTATTCTGGTTCTCCCAGCAGATGGAGAGACCAGGGACCATGAGGAATAAGGATCTCAAGTCCAGAGGCTGCTATTGGGAATCCTGTTGGGCTCATGGGCTAGAGGAGGTGACTGATTTCTCTTACCACCCTTTTTCCTGCTTTCCCCTGTTATAGCCTGTGATCTCAAGATACACACACATCCTTTCTCTTACTGCTTACCATGAGCTATGGGTGTACTTGGTTTGGAAATTCCTCCAACTAGCCCCAGAAGTCTGAGAGGGCAAGTGGTAAGGGGATTTGACTGGAGGCAGATGGCTCCATATAGGAACATGTGACCTATCTGCTTTCATTTTTGTTATGTTCAATGAACTGTGTAACCACTGAGTGTTAAGTATCTGATGTTGAGGGTGACCTGTGGATGTTGAAGGACCAGAGAGGGAAGAGCCAAGGCATATAAACTGGATACACACTGTAGAGTTAATTTTTTTTTTTAGGCAATTGGGGTTAAGTGACTTGTCCAAGGTCACACAGCTAGTAAGTGTCAAGTGTTTGGTCTGAGGCCAGATTTGAACGCAGGTCATCCTGACTTCAGGGCTGGTGCTCTATCCGCTGCGCCACCTAGCTGCCCTTAGAGTTAATATTTTAATACTCTGAGTTATATGCCATTAAATCCCCTAGCTTAAATCTGGACCTGGCCAGTGCTACCACTGTGGGCTGACCAGTGAAGTGATGCCTTTGCCTGTAAGCTGAGCATCTCTTATATCCCACTATCCCAGTGGAGATACCGTAGCTTTTTAATAAAGTTCTTCTGCTCATGTACCAGAGAAAATTTGATGAACCTGGGCTGGTTGGTTTGGGTAGAACATTACATGTTGGATTACTCAGATGTTTCATTCCCTTGTTGGGAAGGAATATATTTAATATAGTAACATTGTCTTTGTCTAGGTTTAAGCAAGGCAGCAGTTGGACCATTATGATCTAGAGGGCACCAGGAAAAAGGTCATTGGATTATAAATGCCACAAGAGGATAAAATGGTGAGTGAGATTAGGCAAGAAATTAGGCAAGAAATCTGAGAAGGGAAAGATTTCTCACACCAAAGGTTGGGGTTGGGATGGTCAGGGAAGGTTTCATGTAGGAGGTGGCATAGGAGTAGAAGGAAGACTGACAACAGGAGATTGGCGAGAGTGGAGGGAAAATCTCTTAAATTGTACTGTCACCATCAAGGCCTTCTCTGCTAGTCTGCTTTTGGAACTCAAGGAACATTCACACCTACCTTTAACATGTACATAAATGTTTAGGCAAGAAGCAAGAGGAAATAGAGTTCCTAATGCAAGGAGTCCAATTTTACCTTTTAGGTGTCATTGTAATTTGGCAGGATGAATTGACTGAAATAGGGCTCTGGTTAGATATGCCTTATTGATTAAGAAGAAACAGGATAGGTAAAAAGGGAAGGATTAGGTAGAATTACTTATTAAGAAGGAATACTCATATAAGGAAATTCAGGCATTAGGTGGGTCATCCCATGTAACAAGCATAGTATCTATCACTCTTTCTCTAATTCTGACTGACCATATATACTGGCTCAGTATTTGAACATGTTAGGAATGATCTGACTACTCATGTGGTTCTGTCCTTAGGGCTGTGGGTACTTTGTAATGACAAAGCGATCCCCTCATTGGCTACTGAGCTCAATGAGCTAATGACACAGTGGATCTTTGAAAAGGAGATAGCTACTGACTTGGTCTCTTGCTTCCAGAATTCATGGCAAGTAGTACTTTCACTAACATGCCTGTGGGGGTTGGTGTTGATGTGGGGATGATGAATATTCCACCCTTACTTTCTGATCCCATTTGGATTGTGAACTCAACTAGGCAAACTTGCTCCTGAACTCCTAGCTGCCTTTTCTGTTTTGAATTTTCTTTGCTGAGGAGGTGAACATTTTTCTCGTAGTCCAGGTTTGCATGGGACTTTATGAATTGGAGAGGTCCAAAGATCTTGGGTCCAGTGAGTGGCTTTTGGTGACAAGGGAAGCTTTGGCTGTGGAGAAGACAGCCATTGGCAGAAGGAGGAGCTCAAACTCCTGGTCTGTTTGCTAGGGAGCATGGACTTTGAAGGAGGCAATACAAAGTGGAGATGTAGTGTAAAATGCTTAATCAGCCATCCTTAAACTGCTTTATGTGCTGATGATACTTTTAATCTCTCTGGAAAGTATGACTTGTAGTTAGAAGATAAATTGTTGAATTCTGTTTTAAGCTATTCTGTCAAGGTACATTTTTTTTAGCATTTTTTTTGTGTATGTAGGAAATAAATACCTCTCCCATAACTAATTAATATTGTACATTGAGTACCTTTTTACTTCTCACTTTGGGGAGTCTAGACATGAGCCAAAACCTGATCTTTCAGTAATCCATCCCTGAGATGCTAGGGTTGGGGGTTTAACAAACCAGAGTATGAGAGAAGAGGCTCTAGTCCTCTTCCAGTAGAGGTCATGCTCCTCTGGAGACTAAACCTAGTCTGGATGGAGAGCCTGGACAGATTCAGGGTAAAGAGCAGAGGGGCTCCTTAGTGAAGGAGGGAGTGGGCACAGTGACCCAACTCCCTGGGCCCAACTTTGGTTCCTTATTGTTGGACAAGAAGCAGATAAAAGAAGCATGGAGAACATTTGGATGCACATCAACAGAAGGAAAGATGGAAGCAATTTTGTCATTACAATATACTACACGGAAAGAGGAAATGGATGAGGAAATCAGGAAACAGACAAGCCTGGCACGGAGGTATGTTATAGAAATGATAGGACTTCAGCTAGGGGAGAAATCATTGTGGAGAAAGGACCCACTTTCCTCATTACCACCAGTAACAATTGTTGACCGACTGCCACTAACAGGTAGGTAAGCAGAGGAGATCGGGCCCCTTAGACCACTGGTCCTGCTTCCAGCTTAGCCCTCATAACAGTCATACAGGGAAGCAACTCCTGTGAAGAGGGAACTAGCCATCCCAACAACTGACAACCAAGTGCCCACAGAGTAGGTAAGCCAGCCTAGCCCTAGCAGCGATGCACCCTGAGGGAGAGTCAAGAGGCAGCATGTGCCAGGATAGACAAGCCCTCCACCCCGACCTTGACCGTCATCTCCCTTCAGGCCCTGATGGAGACAGCCGACGGCCCTGAATCCAAGTGCTTTGGGAATAGCAATGTCTCTAGCACAGTGCCCTCAGTCCTCATCCTGGGAAGCAGTCCCTATGGAGATGCAGCCTGACAGTTGTTCTTGTAGGTGCTATAGGAGCAGGTACACCTGAAGACTTAGAAAATAAAGTTCTTGCCCTTGGCACTGTCAAATGGTTCAGCATTGGAAACTGCTATGATTTTATCACTGGTCATAACATTAAAGAAGAGACATTGGTATCTGCTTTGCTGCTGCACTCTAAAGACCATGGAATCTTTCCATCTGACGTCCATATTTGTTGCCTTTCCCATTAGAACGTGAGCTCCTCAGGAGCAGACAATGTTATACTTTTCCATGTGTTTAGCACATTGCTTTCTATGTAATAAGTGCCTAATAAATGCTTTATTCATTCATCAAGGTATCAGCTAGAACTCTCAGCCAGAATCAGAGCAGGCAATAATTACTTACCTGAATCAATTCATCCTTCAAATGCTGGAGGAAACAAAGGGAAATTTTGTGCTGGATCTGATTCTCACTAACAGGAGGAACTGGTTGCTCGTGTAAACAACTGGAACCTTTAGGGGAGCAGTGACCACTGATGCTGACAGGGAAAGAGGGGAAAGCTGGGTATCGTCTGACATGTGCCCTATATTTTGGGAAACTGGATTTCAAAGGATTCAGAGGAACGCTAGGCAGGATCCCTCACAAAATCAACCTTCAGGGAAAGTCATAGGAGAAATTCTCAGGAATGAAATTCTAAAGACATAAAGTAAAACAGTTCCATGGAGGAGAAAAAAATGCAAATTGTCTGAAGAAACTGATTTAGACGCATTTGGAATTCACAAACCAACTCCGATTTTAAAAAGACATGCACAAAAGATGGAAGAAAGCTCAGGTAACAGAGGATGAATTTGAGTCCTATAAAAAATTTAACAGTCCTAAAAAAATAGTATCAGCAGTGCTAAGGCTCAGAATTAGCTGTGCCTGGCAAGGGAATAAAAGGACAACAAAATTTTTTAAAAAAATATATTTTGGGGAAATGAAGATCGAAGAGGAGAAGGGACCTTTGCTTAAGGTGTATGGAATGATAACACAGAGAAGGCAATACTGCTCAGTGGTTATTATTCTCCTATTTTCTTTGCCGAGAAGAATGCCCTCTCTGCATTGGAAATGAGAGGACAAAAATAGTCATTGGGTCGTGGATACCTAAGAAAAGTAAGGAGATAACAAGAGAACACCTAGTTGGCATATGATAAATTCAAGTCACCTGGCCCAGATGGACTATATACTCAAGTACTGTAAGAACAAGTAGATTTTATGACTGAGCCAGTCATTGATTTCTGAAAGATCATGGAGAATGAGAGAGGACTAAAGAAGGACAAATGTCCCACTTTTCATAAAAGGAAACATAACAGAGGCTGCAAACTGTAGGCCAGGAACCTTGGCTTTGATTCCTGGAAAATTCTAGAATGGATCATTAAAAAAATTCTTAGTGAATCCCTAGAAACATTGGTGGTGATAACAAAGCATAGCAACATAAAGATCAGATCCCACTAGACAAACTTTATTTCCTTTTTGGTGAGGTTACTTAGATCGTAACAAAGAAACTTCCACATGTCAGTCCTGCTTCTGCCCTTTGGAGTCAGACAGAGGAAATTGAATTCTTATTCCATATTACTGTCCTTCAAATCCTTAATGATAGCTATCACTGTCCCCTGAATCTTCTTAGTTCAGACTGAAAATCCCCAGATCCTTCTACCAGGCCTCAGATGACTCAAGGCCTTGCAAAAGGAGATCTGTGCTTCTTACTGTCATCACTGGGTTCCAGTCTTGTTCTGGTTGTGGGAAATGAAGCTATATTTAAAGACTCAGATGAATAATGATGAAATTCATGTAAAATAACTTCAGATGTATAATCACTTATGTTGTTTGCCTTCTCAGGGGTGAGGGAGAGTCAGGAGAAAGTGAGAGAATTTAGAATTCAAAATTCTAAAAAATGAATGTTAAAAATTGTCTTTACATGTAACTGGGGAAAATAAAATACTATATATAGATATATACACACATACATATATATATATTATATGTGTGTGTAACACACACACATATAATAATTTGGTCCTAGTTAAAAAAAAAAAGGTCAATCACTACAATAGATTAGGTATACAACATATAGAAGCAATCAAACACTGTTGTATAGTAATAGATAAATCTAAAAACTTCAGTTACTGGGGGAAGGCCTTCCTGTTTGACAAAAACTACTGTGAAAACTGGATAGCAGTCTGGTGGAAATTAGGTTTAGACCAGTACTTCACATCTTTTATACTACATTCATATACCATAATTTGTTTAGTAATTCTCTAATTGATGGCCACCCTCTTTGATTCTAGCTCTTTTCTTCATTCTCCTCCCTTTTTTCTCCACTGTAGGATCAGGAAGTTTGTTTTATTTGTAACTATTCCCTTTCTGGTATTATCTTTCCTCTTAACACTCACTTTGGCCTGTATATCAGAAATACTTGAAAGTGCTTTATTCCATTAAAGATCCTTTTTTTTCCCCAAACCCTGTAGGATTATATTTAACTTTGTAGAATATGTTATTCTTGGTTGCTAAGCAGGGGTAGAGAGTCTGTGGGCTTCTTGCTCCCTTCCCAGGGTCAGATGTAGAGAGAGGGAGCAGCAGGAAGGTCTTCAGGAAGAGGTCAACCAGGAACAGGGCCATACAGATAAACCTTCCCTCCCTCTCTCCCTCTTTTACTTACCCCGGCTCTTGAGATCTGACCTGCGATGGGCAGGAGGTCAGGCTGACATCCTGAAAACATTCTTGGTTACGGAAAGAAAAGAAAACCAGTTGGTCCGTCAATCATGGGCGAACCAGAGAGAGACATAAAAGCTTATTTTCCTACACTCATCAACTCACTTACTCATTGATTCAGTCACTCTAAGACAAGAGTTCTTAGCTTTTTTTGTGTGTCACAGACCCTTTTAGCAGTCTGGTGAAACCTATGGATACCTTCTAAATATAATGTTTTTAAAATTCTAGGTATAGGGGGCAGCTAGGTGGCACAGTGGGTAGAGCAAAGGCCCTGGAGTCAGGAGGACCTGTGTTCAAATCGGGCTTCAGACACATAATACTTCCTAGCTGTGTGACTCTGGGCAAGTCACTTAACCCCAATTGCCTCACTAAAAAAAAAAAATTCTAGGTGTAGAAAGAAAAGAAAAAAGCAATTCTGTAGACTAATTCATCATGAGTGATCTAATTCAAGAAATAAAAAAATCCTCTCAGATATACATACATATATACGTGCTGACATAACATACACACATTCTTTCCTTCCCTTCTGCCCAGCCTTTAGGGTCACTTCCCTACTCTTGCTGGGGAAATGGGGAAGAACAATTGCTCTGTGGTTATTGATAGAAAAAAAAATCTCCAAAAATCCAGTGGAGTGGAGAAGCAGAGAGCTGGCCTCAGAGTCGGGAAGACCTGGGCTGAAATCATACCTCTGACCCCAAATTGGTGATATGATCCTAGGCAAGATCTTTTACCTCTTGATGATCATTTCCACATCTGAAAAACTTGAGAGTTGGAGGAGATTACCGCTGAGGTCCTTTTCATATCTAGAGCTGCTTTCCACTTTTTCTCTTCTTTACTTAAGAAAAGATTGATTCATTGGAGCCTTTAATGTAAAGACCTCCTCAAAAGAAATTTCCTTTTTTTTTTTTTTTGGTGAGGCAATTGGGGTTAAGTGACTTGCCCAGAGTCACACAGCTAGTGAATGTTATATGTCTAAGGTTGGATTTGAACTCAGGTCCTCCTGACTCCAGGGCTAGTGCTCTATCCACTGCATCACCTAGCTGCTCCTCGAAATTCGTTTTTTTGATTCCCTTGACAATTTTCTCCCACTCGGAGCCTTCAAGAATTTCCTGGGGCATACACGTGTGGAACATGTGTGGCCAAAGCATACATGTAGCCTAATGGCTCATGCCTGTGCTCTTGGAGGTTCGTGGATTTCTTTTGGCAAGGCCATTGTGTTATTTCTGATGGGCTGGCATTCCAATGACTTTAGGCAGGATGCAGCCTCTGGTGGATGCACAGTCTCTTTTGGGCATGTGCTATGGCTATGTATAGTTTTATCACGTGATGTTACCTCCTGGTCTATAGCCTCTTATCTGATGCTGTTTATTGTTAAAGGCAGATCCACCAGGCGTGAGATTATTGAGCTTCTCTCTGTTTCCATCTTCAGTCCTCACTCGAGGCACTACCTCATCCTCATTGTAGAAAAGTAGGCCTTGGCTGAAGTGCTGGTTTCCTGCACAGAAGATTCTTTGCTCCATGTGCCAATCTGTTTGGAACACAAAGAAGTCTCAGCTAGCTAACTCACTCAGGCTTAAACCTGTTTTTCAGCTCTACTTCTAGGTCACTAAGGGCCATGTCTTGGTCAGGGGCCTCATTAGGATCACTTAGGATCAGAGAATCTATGTAACTCCCTGCTAAACCTTTCCCATTCAACATCCACTTAAAGGCTTATCATTTAGCAAACTGCCAAGGATGCTTGGAGTTCAGGGCCTCTAGGTTTCTTAACTCCAAAATTCCTTGGATTTTCTTGAAAATGAGTGGGACTATGAAAAAGCAAAGGAACAGAACTAATGCCAGGGGACCTAATAACATTCCTGGCTTTCATATCTATATCTTTATCTATATATAGATATATAGATATATGTATCCTGTAGCCTCCTCCGCTTCCTCAATGCCCATAGAATCACAGAATCTCAGAGACAGAAAATGCTTCAAAGGCTATCTAATTTAGTATGTATTCAAGCAGGGATTTAAGAGGGAAAACATTCTCAGCAAGGAGTCACTAAGCCTCCATTTATTGAATCAGGTCATAGGGAACTTGCTACTTCCCCAGGCATCCCATTTCATTTTTTGGACAATTTTGGTTTGGGGGAAGTTTTTCCTTATATTGAGGCAAAAATCTGCATCTCTGCATCATCTTCCACTTCTTGTTCCTGAGTCTGGGTACAAGTAGTACAAATGTAATTGCTGTAATCTCTTGTTCAGTGATTTCCCAATTGATGGCCACCCTCTTAAGTTTCCAGTTCTTTTCTTCCCTACATCATAGCCCTCCAAACACTTGAAGAGAGCTCTCACAGCCCACCCAAGTCTTTTCTTCTCTGGCTAAACATCCCTAGCTCTTTCAGGTGATCCTCATATGGCAAGGTCTCCAGTTATCTTTGCTATTTTAGCCTAGTCTATCATGTTTCCTTTGGACATGCCAGAAAATAATTTTAAATGTAATACCTATAACTAAACAGGATATTCCAGATGTTTGACCAAGGTAGCCTTCAGGAGAACTGTCCTTCATACTGGATGCTACATCTACATGTATACATACACATATAAATACATACATATACGTACACATACATATGCATGTGCATATCCATATTTCTTTCCCTCTGAGGATTATTTACAAATTAATCCTGTATATATTTCGTATATACAAATTGTTTGCGAGTTGTGTTTCCTTCTGAACTTTCTTCTTTTCTCTTCGAGCAGGACCAAGAGTACAACATTTACAGTGTAAATAAGATCACTTTGAGAGATGTAGGGAGTATGCTCTGGGCATCTCCACCTCAGGGTTCTAGGATTACACTTAAGTGATTAGAAGTGTCTTTTTCTAAAGCCATCAGTTCATGTCCATGTTCTGGGTGTGTCTCTCCCATTTTTTTTTTTAGCTTCCAATGACGAATACTCCAGTTCTAATTAACTAGTTAATATGAATTAGCTTTTACAAAAGGACATTTACTTAGGTAATAGCTAGAATAGAAGTACCAATATGTGAACATTTGGGTTGGAGTCTCTAAATCTGTGAATCTCACGTTTCTTTTGAGCTACTTCAATTCTGCTTTGCTCATAGAGCACAGCACCTTCTCTGATGAGGGCACACCGTGCTGGGCTGTCCTGTGCCAGTGTGTTCCATGTCTCACAATCAATTCTAAAGTTCTTAAGAGAGATATTGAGGGTGTCCTTGTGTCGCTTTTTCTGACTACCACTTGCGAGCACTTGCCCTGTGTGAGTTCTCCATAAAATAGTCTTTTTGGCAAGGCTTTTGGCATTTGAACACTACCAGTCTTTGCCCCAAATGGCATCTGAAATCGAAAAAACACTCCCCAACTGAATTCCAGTCCCCTTTCCTTCAGGACTGGTGGAGACCCACCCATGTACTGTCATTTTGCTCCAGTTACCACCTTTCCTCAGTTCACTGACTGAATTCTGTTGCAACCCAGTGTACTGTCACTCTGCTGTTCAGGCAGTGTAAGCTTCTGAATTTATGCTTTTCACATTGAGGAAGGGCTGCCAGATATCTCCTGCAAGCGTTGGTCTTCTGCAGCCCTGCCAGAATGTGGTGGTTGCTGGAGGAGTTCATTAGGTTACTACTGCATTAGGATCTTAGACTATGGAGACAACTGAAATCTCTTGCACGTAATTATTATTTTGCAGAGGCTTGAGAGAGAGTGAGGATTGCAGAAAGTGTTTAGTCCTCTAACTTGTTTGTTATGTAACCCAGAAATCCCAAGTTAGATTTTAAAAAATCTAATTTTATCATTATTTCTCCAATTAATAAGGATTAATTTTCTTTCCCTCTCACTCCTCCCTCCACCTCCAACTGCACAATAAAAAAAGAAAGAAAGAAAGAAAAACCCTCAGAACAAATAAAATTCCCACGTTGGCCACGTCAAAAAATGTATGTCCTATTTTACATTTTAAGTCGATCACCTCTGGCAGGAGGCGATAACATGTTTTGTCTTTGAATTGTGCTTTGTCATCCCATTCTTCAGGGTTCTAAAGTCTTTCAGAGTTTGTCTTTATAATGCTGTCATGTCAGGTTTGTACAACATTGTCTTAGTTCTGCATCAATTCAAGGATGTTATCCATATTTCCTCTGTAGCTGTTTATGGCATAATAGTATTGTTACGTGAATTTGCCACAGTTTATTTAGTTATTCCCCACAGGAAGGCACATTCGTAGTTTCTCATACCCTGACGCTGTGAAGACGTCCCCCCAGAAGAACAGGTAGATGAGAACAGTTTGTTCCAAAGTCCATCAGAGTGGTTGAAGCAGGCACTGTGTAAGGCTTAGAGCTTGGTCAGACATCAAAGATATCAAAGTCGTGCACCCCATTCTGTGCCATCACCAGTCATCTTGACTTTTTTTTTGCCATTGGACTTCAATGACTCTGGAAGACAGACTGAGGCTGAAGATTTTGTGCAACTCTGCCTCACTTAAATTCAATTCAGACACAAGATATCACACCATGATGTCACTGGTGTTCAGGATGAACAGCAGTTTTTTGTTGTTGTTGTTGGTTTTTTTTTTTACTAGGCAGTGGGGTTAAGTGACTTGCCCAGGGTCGTACAGCTAGTAAGTATTATGTGTCTGAGGCCGCATTTGAACTCAGGTCCTCCTGACTCCAGGGCCGGTGGTCTATCCACTGCGCCACCTGGCTGCCCCATGGAACTCAACATTTTTAAAAAAGCAAACATAAAAAATGTTTATATGTAAAAAAATAAAAATAAATACTTTCCTTTTTCTTTTCTTTTTCCTCAGTAGAGGCACAGAGAGGTAGGAGGAAGAGGAAATGGATTTTTTAAGTTAAAAAAATAAGATTAATTATTAAAAAATCTGCCTGTTTCTACCCTTTGACCACTTATGTATTGGTGAATATCCTTTAGCCTTATAAATTTCAATCATTTACATATGGAATTTCTCTATCTTTTCCTTCTGGGTCTTGCTGGGGATATAGATAGTTTATAGCAATCAGACAAGAAAGAGCAAGTAAAGGAATAGGCATGGACAAAGGAGAAACAAAATTATTGCTTTTTGCAAATGATTTACAGCTGATGATTTACTTAGAAAACTCTAAAAAGTCAAATAATATAATTGAATCAAGTAACAAATTCAGCAGAATTGCAGAATATGAAATTTAATAGTGGAATTAATTGTTCTTTTAATATTTAATATTAATTAATTAATATTTAAAATTTACTTCTAACTACATTTGGGTCTTGGAGTGTTCTTCCTTGGGAGTTCATTTATGGCTTCTTCAATTTCTTTTTTTCTTTTCTTTCTAATATCAGACTATTTCAATAATCTGTTTCTTCTTTTTGTAATTATTCACCCAATCATTTATCTCCCCAAAGTTATCATTTTTGATTAGCATATTATTGGTCAACATTCTTGATTTTCTCTTCAATTGTTAATTTCCCCTTTTACTTTATGACACAAATAATTTGATTTTCATCTCTCTTTTAAATAAGCATATTGGCTGTTTATTTTATTTTTTTAGCAAATCAGCTCCTACTTCAGTTTCAGTGGTTTTATTCAATTTTTTCCATTACTAATCTCTTTTTTTAGTTGTCTAGTTGTGAGGTTTTGATTTGTTTTTGTTCTAGGCTTTTTTAGTTGCATGTCCAATTTTTTATAAATATACATTTCCCTTAAAGAATGCTTTAGCTACATCACATAAATTCTGATAATATTGTGTAATTATTTTAATTTTCTTAAATGAAATTTATATATTTTTTAATAATTTGTTCTTTGACTCATCAGTTCTTTCCAATTTTTAATTCTTTCTTCAAAGGTCCCTATCTGAATGTTATTGAATTGCAGTCAGTAAATGATATGCTTAGTATTTCTGCTTCTCTGTATTTTTTGGTGAGGTCTTTGTGACCCAATTCATGCTTAATATTTGTAAAGGTGCCAGGAATGGTTGAGAGAAATGAAAACTCCTTTGTATTCCCATTCACCAATCACCAGAGATCTATTATTTCTAATGTTTCAAAAACTCCCTTTCAGATTCTTAACTGGTTTCTTCTTTATCTTTCGATTAGATTTGTCTAGATCTAAATTTGTCTCTACTACATTGTTTAATGAATATTTTTCTCAGCAATTTGATAAAATTTTCCTTTAAGTATGTAGGTACTATGGTACTTGGTGCACGTATATTACTAAGTATTGAGAATGATTCATTATCTATGGTATTTTTAAAGCACAATGTCATTTCCCTGCTTATCTCTTTTAATCATGCCTATATTTACTATAGCTTTATCTGAAATCATGATTGCTACCCCTATTTTTAAGTCAACATGAATCATAACAAATTTAGCCCCTCA